TGTGTTCTATTCTGAATAAAATATTAGATGTTGGCACCTCCACATCATTGCATTCAGTTTTTATTCACAATTTGTTTAGTGTCCCAACTTTTTTGGAATCCGGTTTGTAATTGCATACATACCTTTGTTTGTTTATTAGCATACTTTAATTTATATTTCCTATTTCATTTTTTTAATAATTGAGCCAATAGTATGAGACTTTGCACAAAAAAATTAGGACTAAGATTAAAAAAAAGAAGACAATCAGGTTAAATCCTGGCTTGATGCCTTTCGTTGTAGGTTTTTTCAGGTGTTATAATTTTCGTTTACAGTTTAAAACCATGCAACACAGTTTTAACTAAATTGTGTTCACATCGCTAAAGTGAGCATGTATGATCATGATGTTCTTGTCCTTTTCTTAAACTGACTGTGCGATTAATTGATAACTTGTCTCTCACATTGTGACATGGGATAATGATCTAGTCTCTTTCACAGCCCCGAACATGGAAAATCACTATGGAAATTAAATGAATGAGTTCATGAATATAAGAACTGAATTTTCATAATACAAAATTATCTCTAGACCCATAATTTTCTAAAGTAACTCTGTTTCCTTGTGTTTCCTGTTTCCTGGATACCCATGTGTACAAACATCTATCTCATACTTGGCTGAAATACTTCCCAGACAATGTAGGAATGACCTCATTATGAAACTATCCTCTATGCTTACTAATCAACACGTTCAAGTCAGCTGGTTGAATGATAACAGAAGCAAACTTACATAATAAACTCCTCTCAGGCTGACTTTGACAGCATGTGGGTGTGAGGGTCTCTTTAAAATGTCCCATGTACTCTTCGTTAGCCTACCAATCAGTAGCACTATGGAGTTGTGTTACCAAGGTAACAACTCCACCCACCTCTCCAATTTGTTCCTTGGAGCTTTTGCATGCAGAGAAGCATCCACTTAATGTGGTATTATGACATGAGTGGGACGAGATCAGAGAGGACAGCTGATCTGACTTACTCTTTAGTCTGTACAGATACTGTTGAGCCTGTTGTGGGCAAATGTACAATTTTCAGACTAACCTTTATTTTGTAGGTTTAGAAACATTTGCATTAGATTTTGAGTTTAGCAAACCCAAAATCCCTTGATGTGCTTTTAAATAGCTCAGGATGAAGCTGGCCAGGGATAAAAAGGTTGCGGAGAAATTTCACCTCATACTCAGGGCCATTCAGCAGGCTGGAAACTTATCATTTTTATTCCTTCATTATAAAATCAGTGATATCTGCGAGTCGTGGCCTCGAGGTTGACCCTATGGATTTCTCAGATAAAAATGAATAGTCTCAGATGCTTAAGTGTGACAAGAACATCAGTGCATCATATTTATCTATTTGGACTGTAATAAAATTAAAATATACGAGGATTCGACAGTGACCCCCATTTGTAAGGTCCTAGGGATGAAGCAGTGTACTCAGTTCACATTATAGCAGGCATAAATGTGCATCTATCATATTTATCTCTAAGTAGTAAAGTGTAACTGCATTACACAGCAGGTGATCACTTGGACTCCATTTTCATTTAGTTTACCGCCACCACACTGACTCTTTGACCCAACAATCGATTGCAACAGTCAAGCTAATGAAAACTGGAATGACACGCATCTTTACAAAAATATCAGTTTTAATTTATGACCTTGTGTTCTTTTAAGAAGTAACGACAATTATTTAAAGATAAAAATAGTAAATGTGGTCTCTTTGCGTTTAAGTATTCCAGGATTAAAAAAAAAAAAAATGGAGTCACCACTATTACAGGATGTTAGCTTTGATTTCATAAAAAAAAAAAAATTATAGCTATGACACAATGAAGCTGAGTTTTTCAATTATACTTGGAGCATTCTGGCTCGAGAGACATAGCTTAAAAAAGACAAACAACAAAAACAAAACATTTAAAATAATTGATATGAAAATAAAATATTCAGATCAGCAAATGACTTTTGAATAAAATAAAATAAAATAAAATGCCTAACAAACTATAATTGTACCAGCTACAGTTAAAAAATAATAATTAGCACTTTTGATCCAATTAAAGCTTTCCTCCTGGAAGTAAAAATCTCATTATTTCATATTATTTCTGTAAAATAGATAAGTGTGCCAAAAGTTTTATGTATTTTGCTATTTTATCTTAGTGCATTAAGAATATGGTTGGGTTTTTTTCTGCTTTTTGGCTAACTTTTTAGCCTGTGGCTGTGTTGTAGCAAACTCTGTTTGTGTATCACTGGAGTTGAAATCTGAAGGCATGTCCAATTCTTCCTCAGGCAAACTAATCTAATCCCTTCACTTAACAAAGTTTTGGCAAAAACTGGGGGATAGTTCTCAGTCCCACAAGGTTAAAACCTAATGAAAGTCTTGTGCGAATTTCTTTAATTTAAATTTATCTCAGCCACAGTGTCTCATCTTTGATGACAAATCTATTGGATTTTTATTTCCTTGTGACTTGTTTTATTTAATTTGTCTTTGTCCATAATGCATAAGATGTAAGAAGTAACTACAATTTGTGAAAGCATTTGAAAAAGGATTTCTGACAGAAAGCAACAGCTGACAACTAAAAGATAGGTAAAAGGAAACCAGTTAAACAAACAAAAAAGACTGTGCACTCACCCAGCATATTTTACAGATCAGGTGTTATGCTGAAATGCAGGATTTTTCTCTCTTTTAAACACAGAAGTTCTATTTTTTTAATAATTTCTTTGTAAAACAATTTTCCAACAGCCTTCTGTCTTGGTCATTCTGTCTTTAAACTGTAGGACAGAGCTTGTTGTTTGTTGAAATGAGTATTTTCTGAGCAGTTCTACATAGGATTGTGCGATATGGCATAAAATTCATATCACGGTGGCGATAACGATATATATCACAATATGTTTTTGGTATAAAACTTGCAATAGGAATGTAAAAAAAAAGCATAGTGTCCTTTTGCCATCATTTATTTTGAAAACTGCTATACCACAAAATAATCTCAAGAAAATTCCACTACTAGGTCCAGAGAGGTTTTAAATAATAAATCAAGTATTAGGCTTCTTTCTTGTAGTGCAAAACATTGCAAAATATATCAAATGTAGTTTTAGCTATATGTTTTAAACAAAATAATATGTTGTTAACTCTTAACAGTTTCCAGTCTTCTCACTTGAGAAATGAACAGCAACAGAGCAGCATTTTACACTGAAAACACTTCACCCTCCGACCCTCTAGTGGGCGTCTCCTTCCTCTTTAAGGAGAGCTGACACAGAATGAGTTTGTGGCTTTGACCAGAGGGTCTCGCAGTAAAATCACACAACACAGCATTCTTTTCACAGATCAGATAGCAGGTTTCTGTAAAGCTGACCAAGGCTTACTTTAACTTTCGACAAAAAAACAAAACAAAAAAACTTTTGATGGAGCACAGAGTTTTGCACATGCGTCCAAATACGGCAACACTACGGCAAGCCGGCCGTAGATAGCTTGTAGCTTCACTACTTAGTTCTCAAAGAAAAGTCTTTAACACCACTTATGCACAGTTTTCAACTCAAAAAAAGTAATGGTTAAATCTGACAACTCTGATTTTACATCAGACATAGCATTACTGCGGTTAGCCAGTAGAAGACAGATCTCTATCGTAGGCTAAATTTCTATTGTTTCTACCGTGTACCGTATATATCGCGCATTCATAGTTCTACAGCACCTAATATTCATATATTCATATAGCTCCTGATGATTGTCTCCAAAAGTTAATGTCAGCTAATTTAAGAGCATTTACTGAGCCAGTGGTTTCCAAACTTTTCATCTTTTGACCCATAATTGGTTAAAATATATCAGTAAAAAGGCCAGTCAAGTACAGGAAGAATGGGTATTATCACAGAATTGCTTAAATCTATTGATGACTGTTGTTCATGTTTCGCATAACAGTTATGTCAAAACGTGCTGTTAGCAAATTGTTTTAAAATTTAAATTGAATTTTGAAGATAA